TACTCAGAATACTCATTGAATTGTACAATGAATATTTGTGCATTTTTTGCAAATGTGCAAATTTTACCTCAATAAAAATAACATTATTAGAGAATATATTGTATTATAATTAGGTTTAGTGACATATAACAGAAGTAAAAACGACAATGGCTCAGCCAGGATAGATGTGTATTTCTCTCTGATGTTAAAAAATTTTTTTTAAATCTAAAGCTAGACAATTTAGGGTCTGTTTGGCAGCCTCACAGTCATAAGAAACCAAGGCTCCATCTAAATCTTCCTTTCATGGTCATTGTCAGGCCTCCCCTTGCTTCTGGTTGTTCAACAGCTCATGTAGCATCAATTCATTGGGGAGGCACTATTGGTCTCTATGTGCCATTGATTCCCATCTTCAAAAGAACTATGTTAATCAAGTCTCCTTTTCACCCCTTCTGCCATTCTCTTAAGTCCAGATGCCATTATCTTCGTCCCAGATTAATACAGTAACTTCTTATCTTCCAGTCTCCTTCTGATCTCTCTTCCTCTAGTCTCATCTTGTACACGACTGCCTTTTCCAAACATAAACCTCCTGATCATTTCACTACTCCCCCAGGCCCCACCCTCTTGTCTAAGACTCTTAAATACAGCCCTACCACCAATGATAAACTCCAAACTCAGAGTAGGAACTATTCAGGTTGCTAGAGCATAAAGTTTGAGTATATGGTTTATAGTTATACCTATTGTGTGTTTTAAAAAATAGCTAATTATTTTACTTGCCATTACAAAGTTAAACTATATGTATCAGTTATAAATTTTAATTGCAAACATTTGGTATAAAATATGTTGGAAACTAGATTACTTCATCCATTTTGGGGGCCTACACTTATATTATAAAACATCAATTGGACTATTTTACCAAGTGGCATGAGGGGAAAAGTAAAGAAATATAAAACCATGTCCCTTTTGGAAATAGTTAAAAGACTAAAATCTTTAATTTGTAAAAGAGAAGTATGAATGACAGAGTCTCATTGATGCTCTTAAGTATGAAGGCTTTATATATATATTTTTAAGAACTCCTCTCCCTGTTGGTTTGTACTTCTCTATTCTGAGGAGATATAAAGCATGTAAGGCTTTTTCTTCCTTTCTTGCCTGAATTTCTCCAAGGCAGAAAGCTGACCTGCCTGAAGTCACTGGCTCCTCCCCATCTCGAAAAAATAAAAACAAAAAACTAATCTCATTGAAGGGATGACACTGAGTGCCCTGTAGGGAGGGAAAAAGCTTCTGGAATTATTAAGAGAGAGATGTTTCCAGAGATTGGAAGGTAACACAGGTCATTCAGAGCCATCTTCTCTGTGGTAACGGCATCCCCTGGAGATGATAGTATCATGAAAGAAATGTCTGGGTGCTGCATCTTGAGAGATTGGACCCCATAGCATAGCAGAGGCATAAAAATCTTCTCTCGGCCTAGTTGTGGCTGAGGGGAGAAGAAGAGACAATGGCCCAGGAGAGAGGCCTGCAACAGATTCTCCCTCATAGCCCTCAGAAGGAACCAAAGCTGCCAACACCTTAATATTGGACTTCCAGCCTCGAGAGCTGTGTGACAATAAATTTCTGTTGTTTAAGCCACCCAGTCTGTAGTACTTTATTACAGAGCCCTAGAAAACTAATATACCAAACAATTTGAACCATCTCAGTAACTTCAAATGTCCCCTAGAATCAATACTTTAAAAATTTATGAAATCAATTTAAATGGCTTAAAATTACAGCTAGTGGTTACATGTAATGGGAAGCGAACAGAACTAATACTTATTATACATCTACTATGTCCTGGGCAGGATTTGGGGAACTTTGTATATTTTTGTTTATTTTACATGTATAAACCATGCTTTCAATAATAAAATTTTATCTGATTCAATAGAAGCACATTTTGTGCAGCAGGAACATTTACAGTAAACATGAGTGATTTAAATGAGTACCAATTAAGGGGATTGTACCTTGCTTAGCATATTTCTTTAAATTACATATCATAGAAGGTAGAATCTTCTCTACATTCTGAACAGTAGTACTTGTTGAATTCTTCTCCAAGAAGAAGAGAAAACCCAGCAAAAATATGAAGAGTAAGTGCAAATGACCAATAAACATATAAGATGATGCTAAACTTTCCAAATAAGTTACCTTTCCAAATAAGGGAAATGACTGATTTGTGCCTCACTAAACAAGATTGAATTGACCATGAAGAACTGAACATTGAACGTGAGGGTGAACATTCAGAAGATTGGCTATAGAAATTTACGAAGCTTCTTGGTGTAAAATATCTGAATCTCTGCATGAAAAAATTTCCGCTGAAAATTACATTGATGAGTTTTCTATGGTGATATCTGATGAGACTCTTCGTCCTGAACCTAATGAAACAGTTCTGTACTGGTGCCTAGAAGAACATTGAACATGGCTGAGGAAAGGAAGCTCACAGGTTTTAAGGATACTAAGCATTGGTTGGCTGTTCTTAGGGTATTAATGCTACAGGATAAACTTGGCAGTAATTAGAAAAAGTCAATGTCCACAGCATATGAAGATATACACAACTTGTCTATACATCCCTAAGCAAACAAGGAAGTATGAATAGCCAGAGAAGTAGCTGAATGACCTACTAGCTGAATGACAACTTCATACAAGGTGCATGAAGTCGTTACAGGCAATGTATACTAGAAGAAAACTGTAAAATTTATTCTTCTCAGACAACTGCTCTCTATACCCTCTCCTGGACTTCCTGTAGAAAATAATGTTTTCAGTATTTGCTCTGCCACCCCACATACAGCACACACAATGTAACATCAGCGAGAAACACCCAGGGCCATGAAATTTTATGTTCTATAAATAAAAGTATAAACTTGTCTTAACTGTAGGCCACAGAGATCTAAGAATCCAAGAAGATCTGAATGAGTTCAGTCTTAATGATGCCATTAACATCATGTACAAATTTATGTGTGGACATATATTTCCAATTTTCTTGAGTATCCTCCTAGGAGTGGAGTTGCTGAACCATGTGGTAAGTCTATGTTTAACCATTTGAGGAACTACCATATTGTTTTCCAAAGTGGCTGCATTATTTTACATTCTCACCAGCAGTGAACAAGGGCTCCATTTTTTCCACATCCTCACCAACACTTGTTACCTGTCTTTTTGATTACAGATATCCAAACAGATTTGAAGTGGTTTTGATTTGAATTTCCCTGATAGCCTACGATATTGAACATCTTTTCATGTGCTTATCAGCCATTTGTATATCTCCTTTGAAGAAATGTCTACTCAGATCTTCTGCCCACTTTTTATTGTGTTGTCTTTTTATTATTGAGTTGTAATGATTTTTATGTGTTCTAGATACAAATCCCTTATCAGATGTATGATTTGCAAAAATTTTCTCTCATTCTGTGGGTTGTCTTTTCACTTCCTTGATGATGTCCTTTGAAGCACTGATGTTTATGATTTTGATGAAGTCCATGGGGTTTATTTTTTCTTTGGTTGTATGTGCTTTTGTTGTCATATCTAAGAAACCATTGCCTAAATCAAAGTCACAAGGACTTATGCCTATGTTTTCTTCTAAGGGTTTAGTTTTAGCTCTTACATTTAGGTCTTTGATCCATTTGAGTTAATTTTTATATACGATATGAGGTAGGATTCTAACTTCATTCTTTTGCATGTGAATATCCAGTTGTTCCAGAACCACTTATTAGAAAGATTTTTCTTTTCCCCATTGATTTATTTTAGCACCCTTGTCAAAACTCAGTTTACCGTAAACATAAGTTTATTTCTGGATTCTCAATTCTACTGTATTCATCTATATGTCTGCCTTCAGGCCAGCACCACACTGTCTTGATTACTGCAGTTTAGTAGTAATTTTTGAAATTGAAAAATGTGAGTTTTCCAACTTCGTATTTCTTTTTCAAGATTGTTTTATCTATTCCAGGTTCCTAGGTAGACTTGCCATATGAATTTTACGACCAGCTCGTCAATTTCTGCAACGAGATCAGCTAGGATTTCACAGAGATTGTACTGAATCTGTAGATCAATCTGGGGAGCATTGCCATCTTAACAATATTAGGTGTTCTTATTCATGAGCATAGGATGTCTTTCCATTTATTTAGGTCTTCTTTAATCTCTTTCAACAGTGTTTTGTAATTTTCAGAGTATAAGTTTTGCACTTCTTTTGTTAAATTTATTCCTAAGTAGTTTATTCTTTTTGATGCTATTGTAAATGGACTTTTTCTCAATTTATTTCCTTTTCAGTTTGCTAATTGCTAGTGTATAGAAATAAAACTGATATTTGTTTATTGATTTTGTATACTGCAACCTTGCTAAACTTTTTTATTAGATCTAATAGTCTATTAGTGGATTCCTTAGCATTTTCTATATACAACATCATGCCACCTGTAAATAGAGATAGTTTTACATTTTAAAGAATCCTAATCCATTTGGTTTTGTGGAAATATAAGCAAAAATAAAGAGTACAGTATTTAGTTTAGAACACTAATTCCCAAAATGTGTTTTGTGGAATATAGATTCTTGGGATGTAATTACCTCCTAAAAGCTTTTTGCTGTGAAATAAGTTTGGAAAACATTGCACTTGCCAAAATTAAATGGGTTTGCATACTGTAAGACTTTTCAGAGATGTTTGTATGCTCCCACGCATGGCAAATCTCACTGAGTAGCAGTATGATGATAGTTTTCCCTAAATTTGACCAAGAAACCTTTAGAACAGTATTTCCAGAGTCACATGCACAACACATTTTAGGAAATTCTAATTGATAGCACCGTAACTATTTACTAAGCATTTGTTTCCACCAGGCACTTTACTAGGAGCTCTGGATGGACAATGAACTTCAAGAAAGGAACACTTACCAAATTAATCAAGATAATGAAGGATTCTGGTAATGAATCAGATGTTCAATAAGAATATAGCATTACTCATCAAGATCATAAGGGTTCATACAGAATAGTTCTTACTGAAATAAAAATTTGATACTCACCTTGAACCTAAAATTTATGAGCAGCATGAAAACAAAGACTGTTTACACATTGAAGAGACATGTTTCAGCTCATGAAATGGCTCCAGCAACCTTGCTGGGTGCTGGACAGTTCGTCTGCAACCTGAGGTAGATCCAGAATTTAAAAGAAAAAAAAGTTTTATTTATTTATTTTTTTTGTGAGGAAGATCAGCCCTGAGCTAACATCCGATGCCAAACTTTCTCTCTTTTCTGAGGAAGATTGGCCCTGGGCTAACATCCGTGCCCATCTTCCTCCACTTTACAGGGGACGCAGCCACAGCATGGCTTGACAAGCAGTGCGCCTGTGAGCGCGTGGGATCGGAACCTGCGAACCCCAGGCCGCTCAAGCGGAGCGCGCGCACTTAACAGCTGAGCCACAGGGCGGGCCCTGAAAAAAAAGGTTTTAATATTAATCGCTAATTATTCTTTTTAAGCTTGAGTTAAAACAAGGTTGGAAAACTAAAAAACACTTTAAAAAACTTTAAAAACACATTAAAAAACAATTTCTGAGAAGCTAGATAATATTTAAATTATAGCAAGCCTTTGGATAGGTAACTTGCATTAGGGAGTATAAGATTTAGCTATAACCTTAGGGAGCAAAGGATGATTTTGCCAAAGACCACCAAAAAGAAAGAGCCCACTCAAAAATAATATTGAGATAAGGTAACTAAGGGAATCATACCATGGCCTTAGCCCCTCCTAGAAATTTTTCCTAACGGAAACTTGTACCTTTTCCTCAAGACTAATTGCCTTCAAAAATCCTTTTATTTCACATCCTCAAGGTACCTCCCCCCGCAACACACACACACTTCTCCAAATTTTTTAACTTTCTCTTTCGAAGTCCAAAAGAGTGTGCGTACAAAAAAAAAGGTGCGGGCGGGGGGTGCAATTTCACCAACTGTAGAAGGACTTGAAAACTGTCCAGCGAGGCAAGCGGGCCTCTGAAATAAGGGTTGCCAGACGACAAGCGAGTCGGAGACCAGAGAAAATTAAAAGAATTCCCCCATTGATAGCAATAAGAAAGTTCTCCCACCTCCTTTCGTCTCCCCAGCAAAAGGCTATTTCCCTGTCAAATGAGCTGGTGGTTGATCCCCCACTTTCTCCCTTCATGCCTTCACAGGAGTGTCTCCACACCCGACCGCTTAGACTCTTAGGAGGAGGCGGGATGGCGGGCCTGGGCCGGGGCGCGCGTATTAGAGGCTTCTTCTAACAGCCGGAGCTGTGGATCCCTACGAAAGAAGGCTCAGTGCTTCCATTTGTGGATCTCTGTGGGTCTCCCGGTTGCCCCGGGATGGTAGATGTGGCCATAACCTTAGTTCTCAAGTCATCAGAAGCAGAACCTAGTAATCACTCACCGCGGCACGCAGGGTCGCTGGGGACCGAGACTGGTTGCTAAGGACGCTCTGGGAGTCGCTCTTAGAGCCAGAAGGTTGTCCTTCTAGAGTCTCCTGACGAGGGCTTAGCCAATCAGGACCTGCAAATGCAATTCCACCTTCCCTTCCTCGCCTTCACCACATTTGTGTTCAGTTTCGAACGAATAGATGCAATGATGTGTGAAAGACCTTTGTTAGCTTTAAAATACAATCATAAAGCACTTAGCAGTGATTCTTTTTACATACTGTGCGTACGTTGGATATCCCGCCAGTAGCTGCGGCAAGAAGCGGCTCGGCAGTGCGTTAGTGTCTCCTCAACGTGTAAACGCCTCGTCTAAAGCCTCGCCCGCCCCACCCCCCAAATCTATAAAAAATAAAAATAAAAACAGCATGCTTGCTATACAAATGTAGCTATATCTTTTAATCAGATTGCTGTTTGTAAACTCGTTTTACATAGAAGTAGACTCCTGCCAGTGTCCTCTGCAATTAGGATAATGGGAAAACAAAGCATCTAGGGTGTTTTGTATGTACTAACCACTAGGGGGCAAATTTAAACACAAAGAATTGCCTATCTTTAAATATAGTATCCAATAAAATTATCTGACTTAAATCCTTATAAAATTTCTTTGTCTACCAATGGGCGAGCAACTTCAAATATTCTACAAAGGTTCACAAGTGTTTTACCATGTGTAAGAGCAATTCTGGTTAAATTCCAAGCTAATGTACAGGGATCGTCCTGGTGAAATAAATTGCATTAAAAAATTAAGAACTTGAGAACTTAACTGATGTAAACTTGAAATACATCAATCCTGAATTATTCCTGTTCATAATAAGAAACAAATAAGTCTTTTAAATTTTTTTAGACATTTAAAACAGAAATTGTAGATCCAAACCCATAGAATGTACAACGTCAAGAGTGAACTCTAGGGGCCAGCCAGGTGTTGTAGTGGTTAAGTGCGCGCCCTGCACTGTGGGGATCCGAGGTGCGCACTGATGCACCGCTTGTCAAGCCATGCTGTGGTGGCATCCCATATAAAGTGGAGGAAAATGGGGACAGATGTTAGCCCAGGGCCAATCTTCCTCAGCAAAAAGGGGAGGATTGGCGACAGATATTAGCTCAGGGCTAATCTTCCTCACATACACAGAAAAGAGTGAACTCTAATATAAACTATGGACTTGGGTTATTATGATGAGTCAATGTAAGTTTGTCAGTTGTAATAAATGTACCACTCAGGTTGAGGATGTTGATAACGGTGGAGGCTATGTATGAGTGGGGGCAGGAAGTATATGGGAAATCTCTGTGCCTTCTTCTTAATTTTTCTGTGAACCTAAAACTGCTCCTAAAAATTAATAATAAAGACTAAAATTCATAAATTTTTTAAAATAATAAAGTTTAAAAAAAACAGAAATTACAGTATCTGATCCCAGGCTTTGCCAAAACACACCTCTCCTAATAGATCAGTAAGTTGAGGGTAAGAACAAAAGTGAAATTGAGAAAAACTGTAAGCGAGAGAACAAAAATTTAAACAAGATTTAAAAATTAGTAGGGGGAAAAAAACCTTCTTGATCAAAAAAAAAAAAAAGACTTGAGACAGCAAATCAAAACTGCTTACCATATTCCAGATAAAATGAATATGGAAAGACTGCTGCACTTAAAAATAGCTTGGTGGGGTTTATATAAAATTTATTTCAAGACATCTAGGAAAAAATGTTAAAAGCATGAAAAATTCAAACTGTTAAAGGTTACTCACAAAGGAATAAAAAGCAGGTTAGCTAAGAAATTCATCTCCATAATATAAAAATCCGTTGATTCTACAGAGCATTTAGAGAGAAAAGTAGCTACCCGTGAATTCTATAGAGAAGACAACTAAAGGACATGTTTATAAAAGGAAGAATTCACAAATTCTTCCCCTACTCCTGCTACACTTTAAGATTAAACCACTCAAAATAAACCACTCAAAAGCAGATCGCTTAGACATTAACCAAAACTCAGAACTCAAAAATGTAGAAGTCGTGATCAGAAAGAATGGACGTTGAGCTCTGAAACCAGATATACCTAAACGATTCATTTTCCCTTGGCCACCAAATGAAATGGCAAAAACAAATTTGAAAAAGATAATATGTTTATAGCTTTTATAATCCAAGTTAAAATAATGAAGTGTGAGAAAGCAGTGGGGACGTTTCTCAATTTTCATAAAGGAGTGTAAAATAAAGATGTTCCACTATTGTGGGGTGAGGGAATTCAGTTAGATCCTCGACTCACACTATACACTAAATGATGGATCTCAACGAGTAGAAATATATAACATATTTTTGGAAGAGAACACTTAGTGCCATAAATACAGACCTCAGCAAATAGAAAACCATGAATTCTTGAAGGAAATATTTCACAGAATAAGAAAAATAAAACTAACCTCTTAATGTTACCATATAAATTGTATGCAAGTACACTTCAAAGCCCAAAATATGTGTGTGTGTGTGTGTGTGTGCGCGTGTGTGTGTGTGTTAGGAGAGTGAGAGTGAAGAATGAAATGGTTTTAAAGTTCATTTGGAAGTATAAATGGCATATTAGCCAAGAAAATTCTGAAAAAGAAGCAAGTGTAGGAGGGTTTGGCTTACTACATATTAAAACTTACTGTGAAAACTGTTTAGTGGTGCATGTATATTTTGGAAATAAAATATTTAAAATATTTTAAAATTCCGTCCTTGAAAATGGTATATAGTTGCCTCATAGTACCTAATACAATGACTTGCATGTAGTAAGTGCTTAACAAATATTTCTGGGTGAATTCTTGAATAAAATGTAGATGATTTTATTTTATCTCGTGAGCTGAATTCATTGTGTCAGAATTTCTAAGTAAAATATTAATATAAATGGACGACCTGCTTGTTCTGTACTTTTGTTTAGCAGGTCATATCATTCTGTGCCACCTCTTGAAAACTGTCAAAATAGTCAACTATTCTTCACTTGTATTTTGACTCAAGTCTAACTGAATAATGGCTGGACTTTTAAAAATATTTATTACATTATTTCACAATTATAAATATTTTTATCATATGATTCTTTTCAAATAAAACTAATCCTTCAAATCCGCTAAAGAAGAAAGTCAAAAATTTAATCTGTATTATTCTATTAAGAGTTGTGTGAAAATTTTCCTGATTATTAATTTTTGGTGCCTATAATATCTTCTATCCATTAATTGTTATATAATGGTTTAATTATGGTGATTTTAAAATATGAAGACAAGTTGTTTGATAATCCTCCCTTCCAAAGATGGAGCCAAAGCCCTTCCCCTTGAGTGTGGGGTTCAATTTAGTGACTCATTTCTACAGAATAGACTGTGGTAGAAGTGAGGAGGTGGGATTAGGTCATAAAAGATGTGTGGCTTCCTCCTTGCTCTCTCTCGGATCATTTGCTCTGGGAAGAAGCCAACTGTCATGTCATGAGGACACTCAAGATATTCTATGGAGAGCTCCATATAGCAAGGAATTGAGACTTCCTGACAGCAAACCAGCAAGAAAAGGAGGCATTCTTTCCATAATTAGCTGAGTGAGATATCTTGGAAGTGGATCCTCCAGTCCCAGTCAAACCCAGTTGAGTCTAAAATGACTGTACCCCATGTTGAAGTCTTGAATGAAACTTCATGAGAGACTCTGAGCCAGAACCACTCATCTAAGCCATTCCCAAATTCTTGAACTACAGAAACTATGAGATAATAAACGTTGCTTTAAGCTGCTTGATTTGGGGGTAATTAAGCCCCAACAGGTAACTAACACAAATATTATACTGTTATTCTCATACAATGCATATTGGCCACTCTTTTTAAATGTTAGAGAGAATTACATGTTTTATTTTCAGTGTTATGAGTTTCTCAAACAAGTTTGAAGCTAAACACTCTGGACCATTTCAGCATCATTATTTTGGAAAGATTTTGAAGAAATATAGGATGGCAGGACTTTGATAGTGCACTAAAGACTGCTGCTTAAATGCTATGAACAGATTTAGTAATCTGGAAAGATCTTTATTGCTGTGTCCCATAACTGAATCTATTCTATGGATTTTTTTCTAAAATAATTTTTGTTCTTAGCAAAAACAAAAACAAAAACAACTTATTTTTGAACAATCAGAAAATGCAAAGAAAAAATAAAACCCATATCAAACCTACACCCAGACATAACATAATTTTATCATTTTGGCATATATCTTTTTATTGTGTGTATATCTTTACTATTATTTTTACAAAAGTGAAATCATACTGTAATGTTTTTAATTTCATGTAAACATTTTCACTTGTCATTTAATATCCATCTCTAATTTGATCTTTAAACATGCTGACTCTGGCTCTTCTCACCTCCTTCACCACTATCACTCTAGATCAAATTGCTACTATCTCTTGCCTCAGCAGCTTGCAATGGCCTTCTAAATAGAGGAGACTTCCACCTTTGCCCCATACAGAAGCCAGGTTGATCCTTCTAAAACATCATTAAGGTCACTTCACTTCTCTACTCTTGAAAAAACCTAAATTCTTGTCCATCACCTAGAAGGCCCTGCAAAATGTGGCCCCTACCTCCTTTCAGCTCTCAGTAAGCCCTTGCTCACTGGCTATCAAGCTTGTCATCAGGACCTTACATTTAGTTTTGCCTTGAAAATTTTTCTCCCAGTTGTTCACACATGACTCACCCATTCACTTCATTTAGGTCTTTTTAAAGATCAGTTCCTCAGAGAGGACTTCCTTGACTACCCAATCTAAAAACTCTGCCTCTATCATTTAATTTTTTTATATAATACATGTCATTGTCATTATCTGACATTGCATTATATGTGTGTTTCATTGTTTGACATGATATATTTATCTGTTATTTGTCTCCCAACTAGAATGTCAGTTTCAACAAAGCAGAGACTGCTTCTGGCTTATTCATCACTCTCTCCTCATTGCTTTGAACAGTACCTGGCACAGGTTGGTTCTCAATAAATACATCTTGATTAAAGGACCATACGGGTGTACTAT